AAAGTAGCAATATGGAACAACTGACATGAATATTTTGAGCGTTTTTATATATTATATATTAAATTTGCTGACGTTTCGCCAATCATCCTGTTGGCTTCTTCAGAGCTTATCTGAAACTGACTCGCAGTGTACTCTGTACTTGCTTATATACTGTTTGAGGGAGGCTGAGCTAGAAGAGGGATATGAACATATTGGTGAAATTTAAAGACCTGAGTCACAGTTAAGATTATTTGACTGCTTATAGATTTCTATACATTCTCGAATTTTTCTTTATTAAAATAATTGATTGCATGCAAGAATTTTAGTTTTATCTAATAAAATTTGATGTCCAGTTTCATGACTGTGTAGTCTTGAGGATCTTTTATGTTCTTTGGGCCTAGTGGATATTTTTCGTCCGGTTTTTCCAATATATTCTTCGGCGCATATGCATGGAATGTTGTAAAATCTGGTATCTCGTACGGAATTTTGTCTTTGATGGATCGAAGATGTTAAGAGAGTTTTGGACAAGTGGTTTTTGACGTTATATTTCTTAACATTTTATATGTGGTGAGTACTATTTTGAATGTAAGGGAGGACAACAGTGACAAGTGTGGGGTTGTCTTTGGAGGGTTGTAGTGAAGTGTATTTTGTGATGAAACGCTTCATATTTCTAATGTGGAAATTGGTAAGGTGTGTTAATTCTGGCTTCAGTGACTCGGGTTGAGATAGTTTTATGATTCTGTAAACCAGAGACTTGATTATATATATATATATATATATATATATATATATATATATATATATATATATATATATATATATATATATATATATATATATATATATATATATATATATATATATATATATATATATATATATATATATATATATATATATATATATATATATATATATATATATATATATGATGACACTATATTCCGGGATATCATAGATATCATCCGTTCGCTCGTTGAACTCCGACTGGAATCTTGCATCCGACTGGAATCCTGCAGACATTTCGCCAAAATCTCACTTGGCATCTTCAATGCTCGCGCTCCGAAAACACTGGGAGGTTATCGGCGGTGCGTGCGGTATTTATACTCTGCGCCGGAGATGGTAACGGTGCTGCTTGTGCGTGGGGGGAGGTGGCTCCGCCCCCCGAATTGTCGCGTTGTTAATTTCGCCCGATCGTAGTTGCGATGTCCTCGTTGGCTGCTGCGCATCGCTCTGCTGTTTGATTATCGTTCTCCACGTGTTGGATAAATGCAGAGCGTCGTCTCTCGTATTGAGGTGTCCGGACTTTTCTATTTCGATGGCCTCTCGTATAATCCTAGTCCTAAAATCAGGAATATTAGCTATTTGTTTGCAAGTGCCGAAATCAATTTTATGGCCTGTCTGATGTTGGTGCTGAAACAAAGCAGATGTTGTTTGTTTGTTTCTTATGGCTAAACGATGTTCCTCGAGCCTGGCTGAAATCCTTCTGTTGGTCTGTCCCACATACGTCAGGCTGCACGATCCGCATGCTACACTGTATACTCCTTGGTTTTCCAGAGTAATTTTTTGTTTTGGGTTTCTTAGTATTGCTCCGATGGTATGGTCAGGTTTGTATACCGTTGATATGTCGTGTTTCCGTAATATTCGGCCGATTTTGTCAGTAACCCCCTTGATGTATGGCAGGACAGCGATCGATCTTCGTTGGGTCTCGTCCTGCACTCTCTGCTGCGGCTGTTGTTTACTCATTGCCTTGCTGATGGTGCGCCTTTGGTATCCGTTTTGTCGAAGACAGGTACTAATTTTCTTCAGTTCTTTATCTCTGTTCCTCTCGTTTGTGAGCCTGAAGAACCGAGCAATTAATGTATTTGCCACTGCCTGTATCTGTGATGGGTGGTGATGAGATTTAGCGTTCAGATATCTATTAGTGTGTGTTGGTTTTCTATAGACAGTGTGTTCCAAGTGTCCATCTTCGGTCCTTGTGATGTGCACATCTAAAAAGGGCAGACTGTTATGCTCTTCAAGTTCTATTGTAAATTGAATCCTTGGGTAAATGGAATTCAGATGATCTAGGAATTTCAAAAACCTCCTTGCCAAAAGGCCATACAACAAATACGTCATCAACGTATCTTGTCCATAGTTTTGGCTTCAGATTTGCCTTCTCTATTGCTTTCTTTTCGAAGTAAATCATGAAGAGGTTGGCAATCACAGGTGCTCCATCTATTTGTCGGTAAATTTTCCCGTTGTACATAAAGTGAGCGTTTTTCAGGCAATGTCTTGACAGATTATGTATGGCGGAAGATCTTCGTTTTCTTCTATAAGCAAGAGTGCCTCTTCTACTGGAATACTCGGGTAGAGGGATTTGACATCGAAACTTGCCATAATGTCGTCCTTGTCCATCCTGAGAGAACCTAAAATCTGAGTGAAATGTTCTGAGTTTTTAACTAAGAATCTGCCTTTTCCACTATAGGCTGAAGTGCACTGGCCAGATGTTTTTCCAGCTTGCATAATGGTGAGATAAAGGCGCTTACGATTGGACGCAGGGGAACCCCGTCCTTATGGATCTTTAGGAGCCCGTAGAATTTTGGGCGGAATAAGTTTCTTCTTTGTATCCTCGTTTATTGATGAATCGAGAATTTTGGAAAACACTTCGAAGTGTTTTCGGAGCGCGAGCATTGAAGATGCCAAGTGAGATTTTGGCGAAACGTCTGCAGGTTTCCAGTCGGATGCAGGATTTGCAGGATTCCAGTCGGAGTTCAACGAGCGAACGGATGATATCCCGGAATATAGTGTCATCATATATATATATATATATATATATATATATATATATATATATATATATATATATATATATATATATATATATATATATATATATATATATATATATATATATATATATATATATATATATATATATATATATATATATATATATATATATATATATATATATATATATATATATATATATATATATATATATATATATATATATATATATATATATATATATATATATATATATATATATATATATATATATATATATATATATATATATATATATATATATATATATGATGACACTATATTCCGGGATATCATCCGTTCGCTCGTTGAACTCCGACTGGAATCCTGCAAATCCTGCATCCGACTGGACTGGACTGTTCGAAGTGTTTTCGGAGCGCGAGCATTGAAGATGCCAAGTGAGATTTTGGCGAAACGTCTGCAGGATTCCAGTCGGATGCAGGATTTGCAGGATTCCAGTCGGAGTTCAACGAGCGAACGGATGATATCCCGGAATATAGTGTCATCACATTTTTCCATCCGTGAATCAATACGTGAGAATATATATATATATATATATATATATATATATATATATATATATATATATATATATATATATATATATATATATATATATATATATATATATATATATATATATATATATACTGTTTTTTAGTTATAATCTTATCTATCGTCAGTCGTAACCATTACTGGAAGCTATTTGTTTGATAATATAATATAAATTGTTTTTCAATTATTTATGTGGAAAGTAGTATATTACGTGGTATGTGGAGAAAAATGGATTATTATCAAGTAAAAGTCACCTCAGTTCAAACATTTTTCAATTAAGATGAGAAGGTTTGGTCCCAAATTCTCGGATTTAAATATATCTGAAATAATGTTGAGAGTTTCAATAAATGCATTTGAAATGCAACCCGCACTGTCTTCTCAATTTTACTTGGACTCTAGTTTTCATTCCTTTCATTCCTATTTCTAGTCCAACGATTGTGAACATCCGCATGAAAAGAATACTCATTCCGTTTCTTTTTAAGGTACCCTTAATATTTCAAAATCGGCACACTTTTTTTAAAAATTATCTCGATAATTCTTTAGACAGTTACCCTTGGCATGGGATGAATGACCCCCCTCCCACCCGATTAAAATTAGTAACAGAATAGACCCTGAAAAAGTGAAAAATACGTCATAAAAAAATCCGATAAATTACCACTTTATCAACCTTATCAAGACCAATTGAATTGTATAGAAACACGCTTCGCGGCTTCTTGTTCTAGGGTATACTCCTGCGAACCACTATAGAACTTTCGCTAAAATGAATATGAATGCAAGAAAAAGCGATTTTCATATGGATTTTTTCAAATATCTTGAGCAGCGTATGTGTTTAATACTAACCAATTAGCCATATTTTTTATCAATTTTGATTTACCACTAATAATTTGTTCCCGAAAAGACCAATTTTCAGAGATTTTAGATTTTTATCCATAATTGAAAAAAAACTCTATATAATAGGTAAATAAATGGTTCAAGAATTTTGCCGATCGTGTTAATATAGTTTTTGAGAAAATATTTTTTTCTGAAGGCCAAAATGAGCCAAAAAAAAATCAAAAATTTTTAAAAAATGCTTGACGATATACTTCTTTTCTAAATTTGAAGTCAATCGCTGCAAGTTTTTAATACAGGATATTCTGACCAGCCTGTGTAATATGTGACGACCTTAAATACAAAAGTTTTAGTCGGCCATACGGGCTATATGGTCATGTAAAAGAAACTGCTACTTATGGTCATTTACTATTTCGATTGCATAAACGGTTTTCGACAATTGACATTTTCCATGCACCTTTGTAAACGCGATTTTTGTTTCAAAATTGAAAAAAAGGTAGTCTAATGAACGCGACCATTTTCGCATATCTTGTGCATCCCGTGGACTGTTGAAAAGGAGCAACATTTGGAACGTCTAGCTCAAACCATTCGGAAGTTATCGTCGATTTCATCGATAATATAAACCCAAAAATGTCGTCCCATGTAACTGCTATAATTAAAACTCCGTTTGAGTGAATACTAGAGGCAGTTGGAGAGAATGCGTTAATCATGTACTTAAAGCGGAAAATAATTATATAAAAAAACGTAGGACAACGCAAAACCATTAATTATACCCTTGGATGATAGATTCAAACTATTCTGATGCTTAATTTCATTGAATATGCATTTATTATTTGTATAATTACAATTATACCGTACGCAATACAACAGAATGTATTCACACATTTTGTGTTTCAATTTCTTTATTACTACCCTGGACCGGTTTGATTTATTGGCACAAAAATGCCTACGAGCAGATAAAAACATTGATAGCATTCTTACAGTCATGGCCATTTATCCTACTATACATCACTAGAAGTGTGAGAAAAGTGCGGTTTTATAATATGAAAGTCATTTTAGCACACATTTAAATAATAAATAATAATAAAACAGAGGTAAAGCTCATTACAATATTCGTATTCGTCGTCAAAATCTTCCCAACCCGTTAATACAATGTAGTAATATTAATATCTATTTCGAAATAAAATAATTTCACTAGTACACCTATTTTTTAATTAAAATAAATCAACAGCATTTTAAATATTCATCGTGCAATTTGAGATGCACGAACGGTCCTACGACGCTCAGCCAAGAGATCACTGGGTTTTTGCTGCGAATCAAAACAACGCGATAATAGTTAACAACGTTGAAAGTAAACAAGACCGAATTTTTTTTTACCTCTTTGACAAAAAGGGCAGCATAATTTCCCTCGTTCGACATGGGTGCAGGGTGAGAAATGGCCTACGCAACACGGGATGGTCCTAGAAACAACAAAATCCGATAAAGCGGTATTTGGATAGGCGTTGGGCGTTATTCACGGGTATACCATTTGTGTCAAGGTTTCGTACATGTTGTCGTCCTTCAGGTCGACGCTGTGCGCCCAATATTCTTCGAGGGTGATGAAGGTACCGTCTGAAATATTTTCCAAATTTTTGAATAGATTTCGCAGGTTGTGAAACGAAAAATATATTGCGGGTTGTTTCAAAACAAACACCTTTAAAGTTATACAGAGTGTGTTCTAATTGAATGTCAATAATTAAAGAGGTGAGTTTTGGGTTCATTTTAAATAGAAAATTTCATATGAACATATGTCCTAAACATTTAAACTCCTGAGATACAGGGTTTTCAAAAATAAAATATATTTTTTAGTACACATATACTATGTATCAAGAGACATTACTTAGTGTACCACAATATTTTTAAAATAATTCTTGCAATCTCCCATCATTTCTAAAGAAATTTAATTTCTTGATTTTTTTCAATCCGATGTGCGGTTTTCGCTTGAAATGTGAGGAAAATATGAGGAAAAGAGATGAAGCGCGTATCCTTCAAGGCGGAGGACAGGTTCAACACCTTTTATAGTTTTTATGTTCTACTTTTTTTCAAAAAGGTTGTCATTAATTTGACAATTGACAATTTGGTTATACTATTTTATTAAAACTGTAAAAGTAAAAATAACAGTCTTCTAATATTTTTTGTTCTGAAGAACACTAGTTGATAACTAAAGACTAGATATTTTGTTTTAGGTAGAAAATTTATTTTCACAAAGCTTCTCGATTTAACCAGTGCAGCGGTGACTAACCAAAATATTATTTGTTCATAGACAGATTTCTTTTAAAAAAATAATGACATTTGCATTCATTTATGAACAGATTTGATCTCAATTTTTTTTTGTCGGTCGTACGTTCTTCACATAAAAATCAAAATTAATTTCTCTGCTTGCTGTCATATTAACGATATTGTTATGATCATGCAGATCAGAGGTTTTTATTTTTTAAGCGAAAACCGTACATCGGATTGAAAAAAATCAAAAAATTAATTTTTTTTTAGAAATGATTGGAGATCGTAAGAATAATCATTTTCAGAGAAATCAGTGGCATTTCATCAATGTCTACCAAAATAGACAGGTGAAATTAGGTACGCCGGCCACTGGTCTATTTAAAAAAAATTGTGGTACACTAAATAATGCCTCTTGATACATGTGTGCCAAATTTCATTAAAATATCTCAAGTGATTTTACAGATATTAAAAAAATATGCTTTACCTCCCTGTATCTCACAAGTTAAGACGTTTAGAATATGTGTTTACATGAAGTTTTCTTTTTAAAATCCCAAAAATCGCCCCTTACGTATTGACATTAAATTAAAAAACACTGTCAAAACAACCTTGGGTTGGCGGAAAAATAATTTTTATTTTTCAAGTATTGCAAAACGTTAAAAAAGTTTTGGACTGCAGATATTCTTTAGCAGTACATGATTTATGATACGGCTATAAGTATGAAATTCACCTTCATTTCTAAATACGCAACATAAATTAAGATCTCCAAAACTGCCAGATAGATTTTGAGATGATATTTAAAATTCTCGTAACTTTTCACTGGTAACACTTCCAAAGTTCAAAATAACAAAATTATGATTTTATTAAAAAAAAAATCTTCAAAGTATCGCTCAGATTTTAAAAATGTCTTACCTTGATTCCACACGTTAAAACATAACACCGGCACTCCGTAGTTCACGTGATATACGATATGGTACTCAAACGTAGCTATTTTTTTGGATGTGATGTCCCCTTCTTCTCTCGCCAAGAAAGTGGTAATTTTTTTTACCATGTACTGCCCGTTTTCTGGTTCCTGAAAATAATAATGATGATAATAATAATAATAATACACAAAAAATAAATGTCCTGTCATTCTGATGTTAGTTTTCAACACCAAGATATACCAGATGTCTCATGAAAAATTACTAAATTAATGATTATTTTATTTATTTATTTAAAGAAGTCTAACTAAGCCCAACTAAGAGGTAGATTGTTTTTATTCTAAAGTCTAGCCTAACATAAGGATTAACTCTAATAAAAATACACGAGAGTAGGAAAAGACTGAAATTAATAGTTATAGTTAATGGGACAATAACGTTTTTACCTTAACAATAGATTGCGAAAAGAGTATAAATCGGGTCGAGCATTCTGTTAGGTGCTCCAAAATGCGAAAATAGGTGAAAATTTTCAAATATTTGTTTTTGGCGTGGGCAGAAAGAATGTGTTACTATGTCTAGAGTTAATACGGGGAACAAGAAAATTTAGTCTATATAATAGGTCAGAGCAATCAAACAAGTCATTTAAAATTCATTAAAAGTCATTAAATAATGGTAATCATGGAGATCACTAAGAACATATAATCAAATCTCCTAATCCAACAAGAAAGTATTTTTCCTAAACCTTACTTATGTATCAAAATATTTTAATCGAATTCGGTTTTCCTCTTGATTTCAAATAATAAACTTAGTTTAGTTGGAAAGAAAATCCGAGATACACGTGTCCAACTAAAAATTAATTTTCGAATTTTCTAGCTTATTTCAACCACCATATTTTTAAGTAGACAACTTTTTAAGTAGACAAATTTGAATTTGTAGCTTGCAGTACGTACCGCATACGCGTACCATAAAAAATATCATAAATGTCACTTTTCAATTAGAGCAACAGGTTTCGAGATTTTTGCATTTGCAGTTTCTAATGCATTTAGATTTGCAAAAGAACTATTTTTAAAAGAAAGCTCTGTTGCAAAATATACAAAATCTTATCAACATTTGGACTGGCAATCTGTAGCTTTACTGTTTACCCCATTAATTATGGGTTATCACGGTCATCTTAAACCGAATTGTTTTGTTTTGTTAAAGGCCACTTTAGTCGCGAGGTTGATTTTGAATCAGCAATCTTGCATACTATACTTGGTCTACGACCAAACTCGTGAACAAAGTACCGGAAACGTCCAAAGTGACTCGGCACATTGTTTAAAGAAGCTGACGTCTTAAAGTCACACTTTACGAACGCTTGATCAGTGCTAATTGCAAGTGGTTCCGGATCAATTTTCTGCAGCATATGGGTTCGGAAATGTTTACTAATTATATGGGGCGTTCAATATTAAAAAATACCTACGTCGTAAGCAATAAAGCTGAACTAAACTTTAAAACAAAATCCTAAAATTACGTAAAAACAAGCCAAGATGCAGAAACAGCCTAAGAGTCAATAAAGTTGTAGTTTTCGTGAATTATTCAAAATAAATAACAAAAACTAAAAAAAAGTCAATTGCTAATTTTTCAAAGAAACTTCCACAGGCTACAGTAATACTATTCACAAATCTTCTGGATTCTTCCTGCGTTGGTTATTGAACTTGCTTATGTTCATCATCATCATCCTCTTGACTTCTTCGGAGTTGAACTGCCTGACTCGCATTCTACTCTGAACCTGCTTATTTACCGTTTGAGGGAGGCGGAGCTAAAGGAGGGGCATGAACATTGTCTCGGATGATTGATTCCTATATTGGTGAGAGGTAAAGACCTGGGTCGCGGTTAACGTTGTTTGGTTACTTATAGATTCTCGGATTTTCCGTTGGTAGAAGAATTGATTGTATGCAAGAATTTTAGTTTTATCTAATAAAATTTGAGTTTCAGTTTGATGACTGTGTTCGGCTGCTGATGAGTTTATTTGTTGTAGTCTTAAGGCTCCTTCATGTTCTTTGAGTCTAGATAGTTTTTGTAGTGTCTCTCCAATGCATGCTGTAATCTCCAGGAGTATCTCAAATGAAATTTTGTCTCTGACGTATGAAAGTAGTGTGATGTTTTGAATATAAAGAAGGACAACAGTGACTAGTGTGTGGTTGCTTCCCTACTCTGAAACTTTAAAAGGTCGTGGTGAAATGGATTTTTTTTATAGAATATTGTCTTGGATGACTAATATCTCTAACATGGAAATTACTAGCGAGAAGAGCAGATGTAAGGTGTTTGAATTCTGGGTGCAGTAACTCGGGCGACTTAAACAGAGAGTTGATAACCAATGATTTTTGGGTCGGATGGGGATATGACAATGCATTAAGGTATCGGGTCTGTGGGCATAGGTTTTCTGTAAACAGAATTACTTAATGCTAGGTCTGATTTTCTATTGATAAGAATGTCTAGCAATAGAAGATTTTTATTAGTTGCTAACTGAACTAAATCTCGGAGGGAATCTTGACTCTGACGCCAAATAACAACAGTATCATCAATGAGCGTTTGCATAATTTTGGTTTTAGATGGAAGGTGTCGAGTGCTTTCTTCTCAGAGGCTTCCATAAACATATTTGCGATGACTGGTAATAATGGAGGACCCATAGCTGTTCCGGACGTTAGTCCATAAATATAACTGTTACAAGAAAAAGACAAGCAATTTTTTAATTAAAATGAGGTCTGGTTCCAGATTCTCGGATTTTAATATATCTGAATAATGTTGAACATAAGTAAAGAGGGATTCTACGTCGAAACTCATCAACAGTTGATGAACACGATCTTGAAACCAGACATCAAATCTATAGGCAACCAAACAATCTTAACCAATACCTCCTGTAGCTCCCCCCCGCCCCCCCCAAACAAATACATAAGCAGTTAAGCTTTGAAGCAGTCAGCAAGATAGTTAACGAAACGCAGGAGGACTCCAGAAAGTACACCGTTGACTTGACATTGCACTGGACTTCACAAATTTTATTTAAAAAAAGAAAAAAATTATTGTAATAAATGATACTGCCAATTTTCAATAAAATCAAGAAGGCATTTCTTGCACGAAGCATTCTATGAACTGTTGTCTTTTTATTCGTTAACGAATCGGCAGCGGAACGTTTTCGCATATTTTTTGAAACACTCTGTATACGTCAAGCTGAATCCATCGGCACAAACCACTCAATTTCTGTTAGTTCTAGCAGCGCATTGCTTTTTAATTAAACGAATGATATTCTTCAGCACTCTTAAGTCCATGCGGATTCACCGACAAAGACATATCAGATCTCCGCTACTTGTTACAAAAGATGACAGATGTGTCGTGTGTTTGTTTAAATTCTTATGCTCAGCCGATTTTGACTGCTGCACCTGCCCGTAGGTGACAAATTACATTTAAGGTGAAATTTTAATATATTGATAAAGAAAAACAACTAAACCAAAACATTTCAGAATGGTTCGTAAAAATTAAGTAATTTGAGTATTGGTGAACACGCGGGTAGTTTTCTAATTATTGTATGCCCTCTTATATTAAATCTATAGCTGAGTGTTGAAACAGGCTTATTATGAAAAGGCCTGCGCACTTGTATTTTTTTAGAAGTGTAATTGCTGAATATTAAAGTAACATTACACACAATGGAAAGGCGCATACGGCATAATTTTACATTTTAACATGAAAATAATAAGTGGTAGTAGTAATCGTATGAATCTGTGTGGTTGGAAACTGCAAAGCTGCCAGTATCTTTGTGTTATAGTTTTTTACAAAGACCGCATTGATAAAATTGCCATTGTTATATGTATAGTTGGTATGGTAACAATGTCGCGTGGTTTCATCGGTCATATAGAACACAATTCGTAAACATATGTTTTTAAATAAAGAGGTATTAGTTTTCACCAACAAGTAACATATTCTTACACAAAAAAATCCGGGAAAACGCGGAAGAATCAGGTTACCATCTCACAAAAAAGCAGACTCTGTATGAGAAAAAAAATCAAGTAAATAGACACACGAATACAAAAAAAGTATTTTAAAGTAAATTTGAACAAAAAAAAGTAAATCGACCAAGAGAAAATGCTGAGGTTTGAAAATGTCCGCCAGAGGGCGTAGTTGATATCTAGAATCTTAAAACTCGTTTTCTGCAATTTGTTTTATATTGATAATACTTAGAGAAAACACTGTTTTAAAGCTGAGAGAAATTGAAAGCTCTTTTGATAGATGCTTTTTACTTGACCTCTAAAAGGAATGTGGTTTTGGGTGCTCCAGCATGGAGAGCATGGAATAATAGATTTTAATAAACTTGGAGTCAGTCAGAGCAGTTGCGAAGTTGCGTCACGCATAGTGACGTAATCAAAAATGGTCAGTCAGTATGTCTTAGCTATATTGACAAACAAAATTTCTGTGTCAATTCACAACATCCAGTAACGATCTAGAACGCAAAATATTGTGCAAACAAAAAATAAACTTCGACAATCTCTTACTTCTTAATAGCTACAAGGTTGAAGAAAATAATGCCCGAAGCGACAATGAATCATTGGAAAAGTATATGATAGACTTGAAAATACAGTTTTAAATTTTATTTTAATATAACATAAAAGCCAAGTTTTTTAAAATAATCTATTTGATATATTGAAACTAAGGAATTTGACAAAATATGCGTATTGTGACCACAATTTGTTGTTATATCAAACCTAATTCTCAAGTTTCTTAATGACATGCAATAAATATTAATAATTAAACAATTAATAGTATATTATGCAACAAATGCGGTAAACGGCATTTGACTCGCGAGTTAATTTGAAACGAGCGGAGCACTGCGGAGCGAGGCGAGTGTTTAATAAACGAGTGACTTAAAAAGTTTACCAAACGTGTTGCATACTATACTTTTTCTACGACCTTTAGTTTTTGACGACATTTTCACAAAACAACACGAATACATTCAGATGACCGTCAGAACTGACAAACGTCAAAATTCAAGGCTACTACCAAACCTGTTCGGTAAAATCCCGAAAATGTCCGATGTGGCTCGGATCTGTGGGAAACGAAACTAACATGGTAAAATGACGCTTCCCGCACGTTAGATCGGTGTTTAATTACGTATTTTACATGCGGG